GGCTAACACGGATTAAAAGAGTACTTAAAATGGGCTAGTGGTTATTTTCAAAACGAAAATCAGTGATAGTATTCACAGGATAACATAAATACCAAAATAGTATTGTAAGTCAACGCATAGTACATAACATAGCAATAGTGTTGATTCAATATGTCAATGCTTTCTTAACCTTTAAATATATATTTTTGATTTAAATACTCATGCGGTACAAGGAAAAACAAAAGTGCCAACGGCCAATATTTGTGAGATCAATTATGATAATAGAACACTAAAGCAAGGACGAGGAAAAGGCTCAAATTACACTGAAAAATAAGTCATAAGGGACAATTTATAAGATAAGTAAGACTCCCATAACAAGCTACATAACTTAACTTACTGTTATATAACAAGATTTCTCAATAATGCAAGTGAATTCATAACACTTGTAGATTATTTCTTACAAGGATATTAATTAAGGAGGTCCTAGTTAGGAAGTGTACTGCACAACCGCGAAAGCAGCTCCCTAACAACTTAATTATACAATAGAATTAAAATAAACAAATATGTAACTACTTTCTTAACAAAGAAGAATGAAGTTTCCTTATGAAGAGCAACAATTGGCAGCTCAAATTTGAATGGATTCCACAAGTAGGTCAATAATGTGAGGTTTTAAGACTTTCTCCGGATGAGTATATCCATCTAGGTTGTGTATATATGTAACCTCAACAATACGAGCAAGATTGAGAATAGGAGTTAAAAACTCTGCAGATATAGGAGTTGGCCTAAGAAGTCCTTCATTAAGATCCTTCCATGCTGTCTCAGCCATTTTTTGGAATTTATCCATTGCCTCTTTAGTTGATACACCATAATCTCTCATGCAACACTCAATACCTGTTGCAATTTGTCCCCTGCTTTTCTCAACCTGTAAAGGCAGATAGATTAAGGGTTAGCTCTTATATGCCTCAATTAACATTGCAAAACATAAAGTTTGTCCAAATCTCATATATTAATATAAAATCGTGAGATACAACTCATACCTCGTACGTTGCAGTGTCATCAATTACTCGGCATATAATCACACTAGCTTCAAGAATTTTAGGGTTCTTTGACAACCACTCAAAATCCTGCTCCGCAACAGACTTCATACCCAAATACGATGTTGTCGCAAGGTAGTAATATGTAGTAGTTGCCAGTGCATTGCTTAGGTATTCAGAAACGGGTGGCTTATATCCTTCAATAAACCATGTTGACTCGACATTATAATTTCTTACTACTTCTTTCATCTGTGAATACAAAATATATATATATGTTCAAGTGTTAGAAAGTTTAGATTGAATTGTATCAAGTTTGTGATCACTAAAAGACGTACACAAGGTAAAACAAAGTGAGAAATGGACTAAGGAAAAAACATATTTCGATAGTTAAGGTGCTCAAACATACTCTTTCAATTGCATGGCAGACAATATGAGATCTTCCAGCACTAGACAGTTCCTTTTCATAATCCTTGTAAAGATCTAGAATAGCTTTATAACTGATTTTCACGTAATCAGGAAGCCGATCAATCTAGGAACGCCCTTGTGCAAACATTGCTTAAGGGCGTGTGTCACTTGCTCCCTAAGTGGAGAATTCATATATGGAGCTGCAGATTCAAGATGGATAGTGGAGAAAGCAAGTGCGTCTTCTAAGATGTTGTCAGTATGAGTCCTTACATGTGAAGCTTCATACAAGTTCAATAATCCTAAGACATCACTAGCTAGAGACTCCTTGAATTTGCCATTTTCATCTTGGAATTTGCTGAAAATTTCTGGTTTTCAAGGAAGAATACACAATATTAACC